GAGGCTGAAAACTAGGTTGGGAGCACCAATGGCGGAAGACCGCCTAACAGGACTGGCGCTTCTCCACGTTCATAAAAATGTTCCTGTTGATTTGGAGGAAGTTATTAATCATTATGCAACAAGGCAGAAGAGAAAAATTGATTTTATTTAATTTTAATAGAATCGCCAAGTTAGTATTAAAATGTTGATGTTACAAATTATACAGGGTGTCCGTAAAAGGTCTTAACAAAAACATACCACATATTCCGTGGAGCAAAATAAGTCGATTTAAGTAAACTTACCTCAGCACAAAGTTGTTCAGCTTGGTCACTGGATAGCCCTGAAGTTACAATTTTTAAATGATTTCTCCTTATTAATTTTAAAACGATTCATGCGATTCTGCTTAAACTTAGTACTTTGACAGTTTTATGTGCAAAAAAAAAAAAAAATTGCAAAATTATTATCTAATATTAATCCATAAACATAGAACTTGTTTTTTTTATTACTCGCACATTTAAAATATCTACGCCAATGGAAGAAAAGGGGGTTTAGCATGAAATTTGGATTTCGTAACGCATTTACTACAAAAAATGTACTCTTGATAAGACTTTATTACTCTCATGTTTTTCGCGAAATTTGTATTTTAATAATTTGAAGTGTAGGTTTTAGAGAAAAATTAAAAACGAAGATACAGCGGTTTGAGTAACCGCGCCTCATACATGACCCAGAGCATCAGAAAATCGCGCTACTGCGAGATGAAAATTCTTACGACTTATGAGCCTTTTATTCAAAAAAATATGCTAAAAAGAGAATGGCTGAAGGCAATGTACCCTCACCGAAAATTCGTCTCAGAGCCGCCCTTGCCTTGCAGCTGTTTCGCTCTCTATCCCTAACCTTACCTCCTACCTTTCCTTATAGAAATTTTAACACAAGTACAAACGTGTTTATACCTGTACTGTATATAATTTAGTGTAGATTGGCCTAGCATATTCTTTTGCTTTACTAACCTACACGCAATACATGGGAATCAGTAGTGGATCAAGCGCTCATGAATGAGGATTCCTCATAGACAGGAGCAAAAAGATGCTTGAGACATCATGAATGATAGCAACATTCTTTATGGACCTGTCATCAATGATTCAGTGTCGTTTTTCCCACAACTCAAGTTTCCAAAGTCAGTGCCCCTCATAACTTCAAAACCTTTTAAAATTTTAAACACTATTTCTGTACATAATTTACGAGGTAACGCTGGAGAGTTTTTTCAAATTTGTTAAAACAAATTTATTTCATAATAACAAATTAGCCTATTTTTTTTTCGCAAGAATCGCGTTTGACTTCAAAGTGTTACCAAAAAGTGAAAAATTTAAATTTCGAAAAACCCACTCAGCGTTAACTGGGGAACACGATTATCTAATTAGACTTAGATTTTTTTATTTCCGATGATCCAGCACCACAATTCTACTTTTTTGCAAGACGCTTCCGAATAATTGCTGCCATTTCCGTATTTTTTAATATTTCTACATGAAAATTTGACACAATACTCTTTTAATGTTATACTTTAATGTACCATTAGTTTAACTAAACAGATTTTAACTGTGTCGTCAAAAAAAAATCACAAAAATGTGCCTATTTTGCACGAATTAACCTTAACTCTCCTTCTTGCTATTTGATTCAATTTAAATAAAAATTTCAAATGTAAAATAAAATGTTCCATTTAAAAAACCTAACTTTTATGTCTCATTTTCTTGGAGAACCATGTATAATTGAAATTATTTTTAAATAGTGGCTCAGTGGTAGTCTCTGCCTGCGGATCCAAGGGTCCCAGGTTTGAATCCCACCATTGGCCGTGATTTTTTCATTTAATTTAAGGCTATTTTCGCGATACACTATTTTAGCTCTTACTTCATATCTTGCTTATTTATGATCGGAACCATTTCATTTTTTAATGAGGTATTCAGAAGGAAACCCCTAACAATCTGTAGGTTTTAAATATTTTTATTACAGTCTGATTTTTTTATATAAAAAATTGGAACTAAAATTAAATTTTATCAATTTGCAAATATCAATTTTTTAAAACCTACAAATTGTAACTAATTTTGTTTCCTAACTTTTTTCTATTTACAAGTTTTTGCTAAAATTAAAAAACTAATTGGGTTTTGCGGTATGCTGTTTCTCAATATTTTTATTTGGAACCCGTGAAAACAATATCGCTCTCTCTCTCTCTCTCTCTCGTCTCCCTATCTCCTCTGCTGAATCATCTCAGTTGGGGATGGCAAATATAAAGTAAATTGGCTAGAGTCTAATTTGCCTTTTTGAGCGTGTTATGTTAGTGTTGTTTGTTTTTACTGTTGTTTGGATTGTTGTATTGTACAAATATGGGAAAAGGGAAGTTGAGTTATAAAAGAAAAAATCGTGCAGTTGCTAGTAAAAGGTAAGATTGTATTTTATTACACATTTTCATATAATTATGTTTTTACTAAAGAAATTACATTGAGGTTCGGAATATTCGTACTATCAAATTATATTAATTTTTAATTTATTGTAGATATAACAATAACATTTATTATTTTTTATTTGCAGGAACCTACCTAATAGGTTCAAATTGTCAAAAACATTGTATTTTATTACAAATTTTCATATAATTATGTTTTTACTAAAGAAATTACATTGAGTTTTGGAATATTCGTAATATTAAATTATATTATTTTTTAATTTATTGTAGATATAACAATAACATTTATTATTTTTTATTTGCAGGACCTACCTAATAAGTTCAAATTGTCGAAAACATGTACTTCTAGACGATCTATTCTACAAAGTATCGAAATTAATCCGTAAGTATAACTGATAATTTAATTTTTTATTTGCCTATTTTTTATTTAATGAAAGAGGGCAATAACGAAAATTCATTTGTTTTAGAATAAAAGATCAATCCAAGGATGCATATGGTTCAGGATTAGAAGTGGAAATGGAAGAAAAAATTGAAGATAAGACTCCAGGTCTTATTTGACATGCATAATACAGTGCAACCTCGATAATCCGAACCCACGCTAATCCGAACGCAAATCGTGATGCAAGATAGTCCGAACGCCGCCTCTGTAATCCGAACGCTGACAGGAAAAGACCTGCAGCGCGGCCCGCGTCGCCCATATGTAGTTTGATAATTCATTTAAATGTACAAAAATCAATATACATACATAGATCTAAAGGTCTAAAAATGTGTAAGAGGTGTTTTATTGTATATTCGTTAAGGTCTGACAATTAGGTGTTTGGATTAAAGAGGTTGCACTGTATTCGTAGAAGGATTGTTGATATGTCTTACTTATTTAAGGAATTATGTTCTTTTGACAATCACTCTTCTTTTGGTTGTGGTTTTAAGGACATGGGCATAATTAGCGAAACCAAAAGAGGATTAATAAGTACTTTCGAGTGGAAGTGTAGGATGTGTGGATGGAGTAAAAAACTTAACAGAGTCTGAAAGTACAGAAATGAATGTGAACTCCGCCGCGGTCTTGGCGACACTTTCAACAGGATGTGGACATTCGCAAATGGTTGAACAGCAGGCAATTATGAACATTCGTCAAATGTCATATCGCCAGTATGCTATTCATAATGAAATCATTTCACACAATGTATATAAGGCAGCTTGGGAAGCGATGCAAGAGGCTGGAATAGAAGAACTGCAATTAGCTCGATATATTGGTGAAGTGGATAGAGAAGGCAATGGGCTGATTACAGTTATTGTTGATGGAGTGTGGTCGAAACGTTCATATAAAGTTAACTACAATGCTTTATCAGGAGTGGTATTTAATACCATTTCATTTTAATTTATTGATAGTTTCGGCCTTTTCTTGAAGAAAATCCATATTATTAAAATGAGAAAAACCAAACATGGTAGATTTTCACACTTTTATTTAAAGAAATAAAAATTAAAAATTGCATGACAATTATTTCTAAGTACAACTTCTTCTTCATTTACATTTCTAATATATATACAAAATAAACTAATTAGTTAAAGTAGGTACTTAAGAGAAATATATTAATTAAATTCCAATAAGATATCATTACCGGGATTATCTCACAAAAAACTAAGAACAGGTAAAGATATTTAATTAAGCTCAGTTATTAATATCTAATTGATCACTTAAGAGGATATTTGAATTTTTAAATCTATTTATTTCAAGTGTTTCTAAATGGTTTAATTTAATGCCTTTATTCTCAAAATGTGAAACAATTTTTGCATAAATGATTGATGAAATGGATGAGGTACCTCTCAACTTCGACCGAATGGAAAGCGGTAGAACAGCCTTAATTATTTAAAATTAATTTTGATGCCTTGGTAGGATTCACCACTCGACCATTTACTGTTTGGTTTTATTAACAGTGCTGTTCCTAAAGTGGCGCTGGGAAACAGTAACAAATTCTACACAGAACACGAGGCGAAATAACCTCAGCAGATGAAGCCAATGACACAAAAAAAAATAGTTGCCTTTTCTGATATACTTATTTTTGAAAAAAGTCACTTTCATCGTTTTTGCTGTGTGCTCTTCAACTGCCATATTACCACAATCACAGTTAGGTACACTACATTACATATTAATATATAACAAGTTCATTCTTAAAAGTTTGGCATTATTGCTAAATGAAAACTTTTATTATAAATTTAGGGAAGGATAAAAAACTTTGAATAAAAAAAACTAGACAGTTATTAAAATATTGTAAAAATGGTTCGACCGACTACAATAATTATAACCACCTATGGTAACGCTAGAGTTAAGCGCACATAATGCTGATGAACGTTCATCTAATGACTTAGTATTGATTTTTTTTAAGTTATAATAATCATTAAAATCTTACATGCATTGTAAACAATAAAAAAAATAAATTTGAAAAAAATATTTTTCTGCAGATCATTTTACAAGGGCTTGTTATTTATTTCCAAATACAATTACAAGGACAGAATTCACTATTACAATGAACTTCACAAATGTCAGTTTCCATGCTTGTTATAAGGTACTTACTTGGTGTTATAGGTGCAGGATTGATGGGAATCAGCCTTTGGGGTTGAATGTTAACCTGTCTAATGGGGGTACTGGGGATAGTCAACTTCGGCGTAGGACTGCTACTCATTACTGGGGTACTTGTTAAAGTTGTCACAACAGTCGAACTTGAATTGGAATTAGACAGCGAGACGGAACTAAGGGAGGTCACAGTCTGTGTTGGTGCAGAACTAGGAACTGTATTCGAAAGTTGAATAGGTTGAGATGGAGTTGCAGTTGTAACCTGGAATTTTTAATTAAAATGTTAGGCATCTATTTGATATCTGTATCTTATCTTTTAATTTAAGATTTAATAGATATTTTCACATTTATGTTAATTATTTAACTATAAGATCTAAACTTTGATGAATGTTTAGTATTTTCTTATCAATAGTATATTCTGTTATTAGAAGTAAAAGCAATACTTGTGTACAAAAACTATTAAAATTCTCGAATTTCAATATCAAAAGAGCTTGGTACTTTTGTCGGCAGTAAAATTACTTTTCCTCCACTGCCAACACCTTGTCACAAGTCAAATTTTAAAGTAAAAAAAAAAAATAGTAAAATATCAGGTTTTTTTGACTTTTGAAGAAAAAACATTTTTTGTCGGCACATTATCTATAACTTTATAGTTTAATTCATTTTATATACATACCTGTGCCTGTTGACTAGTTCCACTAGGCAAAGTTTCCACCAATTTCATACCGATACATGCTTTTGGTCCATAACTCTTTCCTTCCACTGTTACCAAAGCCACCAATGTATCAATAACGCCATGATTAATAATGATAAAATTACAGGATCTTTCACCGAGTGACGATAAGGAATACAAACATTCCAACGTATAAATCAACAACATAACATCATGTAGTGTCAAAAAAGAACACACACTCTTGTACACATGAGCCTCCAAAGACCTCTGCATGATATCCTCGTTCTGTTCATTCTGACACAATTTGTTCAATACTTCAAGTGACGACAGACATTCGGCCCTATCTTGACTCTTCAATCCTTTAGTTATAATTTTAAGAAGATTGGTTGCGAGTAAGTCATTTTGTAAGTCTCTAACAATGAATTCAGCCGCTACATTGCTTAACATATCTAAGCCGAGATTTTTTAACATGTTCCATCGCGAAATACTACACAACAATAAAAACCTAACAAATGAAGTGTTTTTCACCAACACCTGTACATTTTCCTCTATAAAACTAAGATTTCTTAAAATCGTGGCTACTTGTAACACTCTTTGTCCTACATAGTCTTGAGTACCGAGCGCTCGTTTTATGCTAAATAGTTCGTTATCCTCTGGGTTAATCTTTAATTTAAAATTATCACAATTATCTTCAATTATCTCACAGTCCGGTGTATCTGTATTGTCTGTGTTGTCATTCGATTGATCTTCATTTACGCCAGTTAGAGCTAAAAGTGTTGACTCGTCTTCTTTTCCAACAATTAGGGGTGTGGTTTTTTTGGAAACTTCCAGATCAGATGGGAACTTGGTTTCGTTAGTCAGATCGAGAAATTCTTGTGAATCCAGCACTTCTTTCCAGAAATTGTGAATGGGTCGTTTTCTTATTACACTGTAGTAGTGGGTGAATATTTGTCGAAGAGAGCCTGTAAAACATAATTATTAGTACAAACATTTGTGTCAAAAATTATGTATTTAATTTGAATAGGTGCCCCTGAATTGGCGAAACAAACTTCAAGGAATTTAGTGCCCCTAAAATATAAAAAAAAATCCTATAAACATACCTTTAGAAATGCACAGTTTTTGAAGGTATCAAAGTAAAAAAAAAGTATTTCAAAAACGGTGAATTTCCGAAGATGTTTATATGTTCAATTTTTTTGTTTTGTTTATATTTTTAGGTGTACTATCTCCCTTTTGTTGCACCAATTCGTTGAAAAATTGCATTTAACAGAAGTTCGTACTATGATTTAATATTATTTGGCATTAAAAATAACAGAGAGTTGATTAAATTTTATAACATTTTGGAGGAATAAAAATTCAATATATTAACTTAAAGAGGTTTAGATGGTAGATTTTGTATTTGCCACTCAAATTTAATTAATATTGGAATGTTACATTTTTAATGACACAAGTTAATCTTATCAACAATTAAAAAATTGATATTTGCAAAGCATAATTTAGTCATACTTTCGATGTACTTACTATGGCTGAACACTCCAGCATGAGCTAGTAGGTAGTTTATTAAAGTGGGATGTTTGTCGAGTTTTAATGTATGCTTGCCGTCATTGGAGAGAAGTGTACATACATTGATGGCAAAATCTTGTTCATTGGGCAAGGGAGATACTAAAGACAAGGACAATCTGTCATAGTCTGATGCTTTGTAGAGGTTGGTTGACAAATGGTTAAATTCCCTCTGGGCATCTGAAAAAAAAAAATAAACCGTTACAAAATCTCCTACCCCTCCACACCTTACAGTTACAGAGATAGTGTGATGTAATTTGTGATCCACTGACAGTTACTTTTAACAAAAACAATTCATCCTGTCTTTGAATTTGACATGAACGTTTCTAGTTTTATATTTTTAATATGAAATTATTCATTTAAAATCAATTGAGAGTTAATAAAATGTTGTGGCATGTAAAATATGTATTGTCTCAAGGTTTTAAAACATAACATTCCTTTAGGCCGTTAGAACAAATATGTAAAACAACGTGACCTCTTACAATATCTTTTAATTACCCGTTTTATTACTTACATAATGTAACATTAAATTAGAAATAGGAATTTGATTTTTAACTATAAAATTCAAAAACAAGTAAAGACTGTTTTATAGTCTATATTAAAATGAGAATTAATGCATTTTTTTCCTTCTATAATTCTCAGATTTTTCAATTTTGCTTTGGTTCGTTTTCACTTTGGGAACATGAGGGTGTAATTTTCATAATTTAATAGGGTGAGGAATTAGGGATTTTTCATTTTCAGAATTTCCAAATTTTCATTCAGTTTTTCGGATCTAAACCGACGTTTTCACTGTCAGCAAACAAAAATGATTACAAAACATGACGGCCAGTTTAAAATACCAGTTCAATTTTGGGTCACACTTTATAACATACATTTATTGTAACATTATAAATGTGTCATTGGGTATTAATTTATTTATTTATGGATAATTAATTAACCTAAAACCATATAGAGTAAGTGATTATTTGAATATAATATCATTATAATAGTTTTTTATTGGAACAATCTTTGCTTTTTGTTTTGACTTTATTTTGTTCAATTATTCATCTACTTTTTATTTGTAATTTTTGTGTATTGAATAGTATATTGCCGGTATTTCATAAGAGTATGAATAGGAAATGTGCATTCCTTGTGAGTTAAACACTACACCTTTTCTATGGTTATAACAGGCTGCCATCGTTCAATGACGCTGCCATCGTTAAATGACGCTGCTACCCATTTTTAATTAATTTTTATAATTATAAAATTAAAATGACAGATATTTTCAAGATTATTATTTAATGTTTGACATTTAATGTATACATGATTTTATTAAAATAATTAGGGAATTACTAATTTGTACTATTCAGATAGAATCTGATTCGGAAATGATTATTTTGTGTTATTGAAATTATTAAATACGGAAATGTACATCATTTCATAATCAACAATAGTTGAGAAAGTGTAGTTTTGTATTGCATCGGAAGAAAAATTATTTTTACAAAGAGTATTATTAACTACAACAGAATCGTTAGTTATATAATCGTGGCTGAAGAAATTTATTATAATATTAACGCAATATACATAATAAGTTCTTAATGTTTTAGTCCATTTTTAATCAACGTCTAAACTTCAGCTATTTATTATGTGGTAACATTACACTTCTATCAAATCAAAAATTACAGGCTAGAACTTACCGGAAACATTATGTTGCGCATAGTTATAATTACAAGGTATCGAATGCAGAGATCTTGCGGACCAGCGCTTATGCCTGCTCTCTTCGTCGTCATCGCTGGCACGATCGGCGTCTTCGTGAAGAAAATGAACCTTCTCCCATCGGTCCAAATATCTAAACAAAAACCAATAGTATTAAAAACATGACACGTTTACAGCCTTAACAATTTAGATTTTTTTGTAGGAACTAAATATTAATTTAATAGCTAAGAATATATAGCTTCGTTCGCGTAGATATTCCTGAACTGATTCAGAACTATTTCATACTTTGAGTGCATGTCCGATAAGCTTCGTTCGTGGTAAAGCTACCATTTGGGAAGGCGAGACGGGGACAGACGTCAAACGTAAAGCGACAGCGAAGGACACCGAAAATGGTCTCTTCATCATATATCAAAAATAATTTTTAAGACATAAAAAAAGTCATCAGTATTAGTTTAATAAAATAAAAGTCCTAATTTCATACATTTGCAACTTTAAGTTTGAATATCTTCAGAACGGCTCACTCTATGAAAAAAATATATTAGAACTTTTTGTAGAGCGTTCAATTTCCTACCAAAATAATGTTTCACTTTATTTTGCAATGCTCAAATATCAAGCTACAAAAATAAGAAAAAAGAAAAAAAAAATTCCATGTTATTTAGATGGAAAATGGAAAGTTAAGAACAGGCACCACTAAATGATAATATTAAGAGCTCAAATTTTTAGAGGCTTCTTTTTTCACCTTCCTGAAAGTTTTTAGCCTGTTTTTTAGTTGAAAAAAAAAAAAAAGTTGCTTAAAAATGATACACCCTAAATATACACATGTAATTATAGGTTTGTTCTGCTTCTCAAAATTAAAACGGTTTTGAATCAGCGCCGGACCGTGTGCGTAAAGGCAAAAATCTCTGACTGTTTGAAATTGTTGGAAAATCAGAACGCCTAAATGTCTTTTATTTTTTATTATAATAATTCAGTTAATTTTGAAAGCTCGGCTTCAAATAATGGAATAAAAAAAAACGGGGGTATAATATTTAAAAAAATTAATAATTCTAAAATTGCCTCAATTTACAAATAAAACAAGAACAAGAGACTTGTCCACACATAAATAATTTGGGATTGTATACGTTCTGTATGGTCCGATATTCATAACACTTCAAAAACGCATGTGCCGTCAAAACAGTCAAGAGTCGATCCACACTCCAAAGCATGAACACATTTTGACTGTTTACAACCAGTGTTACCAGGTCAAGAACAACATAAGCGGTAGACTTGTCAAAAAAAAAAAACCGGTAGATTTAAAACTAAAACGGTAGATATATTTAATGTTCGAAAATTGCTGTTTTTGCGAATAACTAAGTAGTTTACTACATAGTTAGGAAATTAGGTACGTAGTTAGGTAGAATTAAAAAAGAAAAAATATTTTATAATTATGGAAAAGCAAAAATGAAAATAACAATTATGCTTAGGTTTGATTATTGTAATAACTAATTTATATAAAATAAAAACAAAAATCTTATATCCTGTTGTAACCATGTTGTACCTATGTTTTACCTGACAAATAAAATATGGTACATAACATTGCAATAAATAAAAATATTCATCTGACAAAAAGCCCAAATTTTCTAAACCCAGGATCAGGTATTTTGTACATATTATTATTATACGAGATAACAACAACTGTTGATCAATTTGCAAATTAAAACATTCGCTGCTACCTATATTATTTTGAATGCATTATACCAACAATACTATTAGTTGTTAATAAGTTTCAATGTTTAATCTTGAATAAATTAATTTGTGAACATTTTATTTATGTAGAGGAATGAGACAAATAACGAAGTAAAATGAGATATAACGAAGTAAAATGAGATTTAATAAAATCAATAAATCAAACAACCAGAAATCAGAAATATTGTGAATAATTTGAAAGTTGTGCTGAGTGCGTGTCAAGTCTTGGTTACAATAGTCACCTTTTCACCGATGTTTCCTAGGGCATTCACCGACCAAAGCCAAAATGTCGAAACGTAATCCACAGAAAATAGAGCTCAAAGTGGGGCTGCTGTAACAGAGATGTCGCCCCATGCAACAAGCAATAAATTGTTTAAATAATAATTGTGTTAATATTTCTGTTATAAAAATAAATTTCATTTACAATTTTACAAATTAATTTGAAAGTATGAATAAATGTTTCAGCGGTAGATATTGGTAGCTTAGCGGTAGTCCACACCATGAAAACGGTAGATCTACTGCAAAAACGGTAGACCTGGCAACACTGTTTACAACAATCACGGATGATTTCGGATACGAAACCAGAACACTGGACTGAGAGATCCGAAGTAGTCCGAGAAAAACCAGAACACTTTTTATCTACTGCACATGAGTCCAACAGTTGTGGATCGTTATTTCTCAAAACCAGAACAGAAATTATATGAAACACATTTGGGAAGGCGCGACCAGAGACAATCCAGCGAGACGTGTAACTCAATGTATTTTTTTTGTTCGGTAAAACTTATTTGGGCGATTGTAACCACAACCAGTCTATGATGGCGCCACTAGTAAATAGCGGGAAAATTAAAAATGCTTTAGGGCGGGAAATTCAAACATGGATTCAGAAATAAAGTTTTTCTATACAAATTTACAGGAGAAACAAAAACTATTGTTTCACTGTATATTAAAAAAATATAAAATCTTCCAATAACATCAAATTTTTTATCACATAAATAATCATTTTAATAAAGGAAGTTTTAATCAGTTTAATATAAACAGTGAACATAGTTTTTATTACTCTTGTAAATTTCGCTAAAAAGAAACTTGAAAATTCTATTGATTATTAAATATTTAAACTTGGAAAAATAATTCACCAAACTCTTTTTCTATAAATTATATTTTTGTAAGGTACAGAAAAACAAACTACAATTGCTTCGTTTAGAAAGTACCTCGTATCATTTTGTGACAAATTACAAAGAAAGTAACAGTTGTTATATATTCATAATATATTTAAAAACTAATGTAACAAATATTTTATAAAGTATAGAGTATATCGATACCTTTTTGCCAGACTATCATAAGTGCCATTTGAACAAATGTCGTTTATGTTAGTCTGGCAAAAAGGTATCGATATGTTATGACTGTTTATTTTAATAGAAACCATGGAAACAAAACAAACACACACATACACTCAACACAAATGTATAAGGCCTGAGTCTAAAAGGGAATGAAGGATGACATACATAATCATTTAAACAGGACGTTGCTGAAGGCTTACCCCTGTTATTTCGTTTGTTTGTGTATCTTGTGTGTGTGCATTCCTGTTGTGTCCCCAGTCATGTAAAAGTTTTCCTAGTGTCCTAATTTGGTTACTAGGTGGACCTTCTCCAACTAGTAGTCTAATCTATTCGATCTGTTCGGAAGCAGGAGGTACTTTTCAAACAGCAAATAATATTATTAATAATAAACACTATTTAAAGATAAATACATTTTTGTAATTTTTTTGTCATTGCCCCTTACCTTTCTCTTACACCACCAGGGTATACCTATTTTCCATATTCCCTTAATTACCTTACAATGTTCAAATGAATATAACATTTTACTCATGAAAAATCTAATTTCATATTTAACTCTTTTTCAATTTCATTTGAAACAATAATTGGTACCTATATTAAAATTTATTATCAAAGAAAATTTCTAATAAAGTTATAGCAAATCCTACTGAAACTACTGGTTGTTCTGCAGGATAAATTAACTTTTCTTGAGATTGATCTCTCTATAAAATCCAAAACCGACCTGATGTCCCCAAATTTATTTTCCAATGCATCCTGATTTAAAATTCTGCCCTTTTGTGATTCAATTTTTTTTTCTTCCTTTAGAGTGGCTGTTAGAGGTAGGTGTATGTAAGAAATAGCTAATCTCTAATCATTTCAAAAGTCCTTTGCCAATACTACATGTGCAGATTTTTTACTCAGCATACATTTTACTTTTCTAGTAGATAGGAACTTTGTGCTGCCATTAAAGCTGTCCAGACATTCATCTACCTACTTAATGAACACAAGTAGCTGTAACAATGGATCTCTGTTCCAATTCACCTAAAATAATTATAGTCATTGTGTAATATATTATTAAACACACACATTATACAGTGGTTTTCTTAATAAATTGGAAATTACTTACCTCTAGAAAGAAATGTGTACAAAAACGCGAGTTTGGTTCCAGAAATTGCTTCATGCAAAAAATAATATGCAAAAATAAACATTCCCCCCCAAAGAAAATTAATTAAACAACAAAATCAGACTAAAAGAAATATACGGGGCCCAAATTAAATTAATTTAAATAAAATGCACATGTTCATAACAACATTCATAACATTGTCAGTTGTCAGTTTTAATACTTTTAATCGATATTTCGACGTCAAAAAACCAGCAACACCAGCGCCCTCTGAAAATGGTGTTAGTTTTATTGGAGAGAGATAGTCATATGTAAAGATCAATGTAAAAGAAAAAGAGGGTCATATATGTAATTTAAATGGACCACCGAACATATTTTCCTATTAAGTTACACGTAAATAAAATTTACTGTTTCAGTTTTCCCTTATTTTAATGTAGGTGCCAATTTTGACGTAAGTTTGTAATAATTTTTCATATTTTTCAGTTAATAACCTTCTAATATTATAATTTTACTAAGATCTTATGCTTTCCTATGAACGCGATTCAAGGAGGGGGTCCTATGGCTGTCATCCAATCGTCCCCGCCCTAGATAATACTTTTCCAGTGGGAAAAGCCTTTAAAATTCAAGTATAAAAATATTCTGTTTCAGTTTTCCCTTCTTTTAATGTAGGAGCCAATTTCGACGTTGTTTTTCATATTTTTCAGTTAATATCCTCTAATATTATAATTTTACTAAGATCTTATGCTTTCCTATGAACGCGATTCAAGGAGGGAGTCCTATGGCGGTCATTCAAGACCTAGACAATAGTTTTCCAGTGGCAACAGCCTTTAAGTATAATAATTTTTATTTCACTTGTTGATTTTAGCATTTATATACACTATCGGCTATTGAACACTTTCCAATACGCTTTGATAGCATCGAAGTGAAAACTAAAGAGCATTAGTGCAATCAGAAAACGAATAATATGAATATTGC